ATTGTGTGTGAGCTGAATATTAAGTATTCAAAGAAATGCAGATAAGAGGAAGAACTGCATTAATTATTGCTCTAATTCAAAAGGAAATATGTTTGTAGCTGCACCAGTTCGGCGTGCAACTTGAGTAAAAAATGTGATGTACCAGTAGCTTTGTTTCTATCAGGCTGCTACAGTTGTCCCGACTTAAATGCTGCCATGTTTTTTGTGTTCTCTTCCCATTCAGTGCTTTCTGCACTGTTAGTGAAGAACTAGCATGTTTTACAGCAGCAAAAGCTTGTGTAACCACATTTAGATTTTAACAGCATTACAGCCATATCTAACACTTGAGCTGTTAGGCTAAAAGCGGCATAATAAATAACTGGAAAAGCGGATAAAGTTTGTCTTTTGTGTGTCTGTGGTGGCCTATGCATGTGTGTGCATGTCCTAGCCCTGAGGGCCAGATACAGAGTCATGTCTATTAGCTGGCTATTCCATCCGAGGTCTTGTTTTTATTATCAGCTTAGTAAAGGTGGTGTGTGTGCTCTCTAATATATATCACCTTCTGCTCCCCCCTCCAGTGGTCCTGGGGCTAAGATTTATGAATCTGCTTTACATCTGCCTTGTCACATTAATTCTACCATCACCCATGGACATATGGACACACATGCACACATCCAGTGCTGTCAAAGCCTGTATTAGGGCGTATGTCCATGTTAGGTTTATTACAGTGTACAGTAAATCCTGATCTGTTCATTTCCCATCATGTATTAGGTCTTTCATAGACGGTAGCAGGCCCGTTTCACTGAGCCCAGCAGCTGAGCTGGAAATTTCAAGAGATGGCACATTGGTGCGAAGAACATTTGATGAGTGAGAAGTGTCTAAAAGCACCATATGTCTTCTTCATTGTTGTTCACCTTGCATTTTGATTGACGAGAGGGTGAGAATGAGATTTTGGAGGTTGGTGTTAGTTTGGAGGATGTGCATGTACGTGCATGTGTTGCTCATGGGAGTAAGCAGGCAGCCAGATTTAGTGATAGACATGGAAAATAGACGATGCTCTGGGGACTCTGTCTCACACATTCTGACACACTTCCAGTGTGTACTGTCCTTCAGATGAAGTGCTGCCAAGGATTTTTTGAGAGGAGGGTTGGACATTCAAGTGCTTCGGGATATATGTGCGAGGTGAGGATGTGTGAAGTATGTGCACATGTGCGGGGGCGCTGCATACTCTTCTGTATAATATCATGCTTTCTATTGAGAATACATTATGATGAAGTGATGAGATGAGATGATTGTCTTCTGTGTTTTGTCATTGGGGCTGACTGAATTACCATCATAACATCATCTTCATTTCCCCGTGTTTGTCCTCTAAGTGCATGTGCCTTGATTTTGTGATTGAAAGTTGACCTTTTGAGCAAATGTTTTTCTCCATCTGCTGCTAGTATAATTTCTTTGAGTCAATGTAGTACTCAAATCTTTAACTTAAGTAAACATCTATAATGAAGACCACACAATGGTATATTAAAAGTAAACATCTTGGATTCAGAACCGTTGTCCAAAGTAAATGTGCATGTCCTCACTTCACATTAAATGCAGCTTCCGTAATTTTAAAGTGTGTGGAGGAGCCCTGATGGTCATTGTAGTAAAATGCTGATTTGATAGAAAGCAATTTAAAACAAACGCAAATACAACTTTAATTTCTAAGCATGTTACAGCCAAAAATAAGATAAAGTTTTTGTACGTCTTTGTATGTAGGAAGGATTAATTAACATCCTGAATATCCTCATGTGAAATTACTTACAAATATAAATACACCAACACAAAGCTGAAGTAGTCATCAGCATACTGAACATTTGTTATGTGAATATTTCATAGGAGGGATCCTAATCTTGTAATTTGTAATGAAACACATTTTCGTTTGTGATGAAAACATTCCCTGTGACCTAATAATCTCTATTAGAACAGTGTAGAATTTTTTTTTGTTTGTATCTTTATTATTTTTCATCTTTTGCACATCAAGGCCATTATTTCTTTCATTCCAAGAATAACAAAAATATCAATACAACTCCTTTAAAAGATTTAATGGAATAAGTTTCACACTTTGTGCAAAATACTTCTCAAACTTATATTATCTTTTTTCCAAAACTTTTCTTGTACAGTCAATGCATTTTGAAGCTAGTGAGCTAGCGAGTTCAACTCAGAAAATTAATTAGTTTTCTACCATTTGATGAGAAGCTTTGCTGAGTGCCTGCAGTGGTGCTGAAACTGCCTCTGAAGTTACCTCTTGCAAGTTTTCAGGCTATGTTTCCTTGTCTCGCCCCAGCTTCAATCCATAGACTGTGTTGCTCTTTTGAATCAGACACTAACAGCACTAAGACCAGAGGTATGCCGACAAACAATTCAGTCCTTTAATGTACCTTAACTGGATTTATGACTTTGTGTACAAAATGCTCAAGATAACAATTGACAGACATGAACTTTCTTAGAGGCCTTTGGGTAAAGTGTATCAAGTTTAAAAAAAAAAAAGTTTTTCTGGACATGACAGCTGTCACCATTCTGTTTATGACAGTTTAACAGTTATTGTAATAACAGCTTATAATAAGATAATTCGGGTTTTTTCCTCTCATCCTCTTTTTGTTCGGACTGTTTGAATTCTATTGTTTTGGCCTTTTTGCTGCTGGCAGAACTGTGTTGCCCGCTGCTGTGGGCCAATTAGCCACAGAAGAGGCATTGCATCAAGCTACTGGGCACAGTGAGGGGTTAGAGAGTCCAGCGTGTCTCCTCTGACAAGCACAGCTCCACTCCATGGCCCACCAGTCAGCATGGGGTTGGGTGATGGCCTTGTCTGGCTTTGGGCACCCAGGGGTGCGACGTGTGACAAGTGAATGGGCATGCCAGTTTGTGCTAAAAAGGAGCAGTCGTTATGACAGCAAGTGAAGTCAAGCAAGGGAGTTATGTACGCAGTGGCAGCTTTAAACTGCATTAAAGTGTTTGTGCATCACTGAGTGCACGGGTTCTGATTGTGCGTGGGCAGAGAGGCATGTGAGCATGACATATTCATATTGACACATGTCATCGAGGACTGGAGGCAAAAAGACAGCACACATCAAACCTGCGTGAAGATAATTGGGGTTTGTGTTGTCTCTCTGTTTGAACCCCTGCTGCACCTCTTTTAAAGGTGTGAGGTTATACACCCCACCTTTTCCTTCCACCCCTTTGCTGTCTCCGGACTTTTCTCCAAGCAGCGTGTGCGCCACACCGCACTGCACCGTAAATTAGTCCCGGGTGGTGACACGGTGCTTGCTGGGTAATTTGGACAATGGGGCGTTTGACAGCTCACCCATCACAGCTACAGCGCCCCAGGGAGCCACTTCTCCTCTGGAGCTTTTCTCGGTCTCCTTGCGCTCTCCTTCCTGATGGACCGACTCTCTTAGCAGCAGCATCATTCTCCGATCAACCACCAAAATGTCTTTTCATCCACAAGCAAATGGAGGGAGGAGAGGGAACACGATTGGAATAAATTGTCCAGTAAGAATGTTTGAAAAGCCTAACGGCTAGAGATGGAGATTGAAAACATTTAGAATTGGATTATGAAAACATAGATTGCTATATTTTGGCTCACGTGGCAATAAGAAATAAGATAATTGTTTAAAGTCATTCATTAAAAGTTCAATTACATTACATTATACTTATTACATTATACTTATGCATCACCATACTTATATTTAATGTATGAATATTGTAATGAATAAGTACATTAGAGTGAATGCAAAGTTCATGCATTAGAAATTGTACGGATTATAAAAGAAAAAATTACTTGTTCTAAAACAATTAAAACTATTTTAGATGGAGATAAAGCTAATTAAACTTTACCATGTAATGGGATTAAATGCAGAAAAGCTCGTGGACATTCTGTAGTACTTTTGAGTGTCTCAGTTTGTTTCATTATCTGAAAACAAACATTTAGTTTATTTGAATAAGTTAATTGTATTTAAAGCCAGTTTTGTGTTTTTTAAACCTTTTCATATGATTATTATACCACAATGTAATGTTTACCCTTGGCTCATTTGCCTTTTATAGTTTTGCTCTGCATTTTAGTCAGCCTTACCGTTTAAGTACATGAAATACATGAAATGGTGTGGCATGGTAAGGCATCCTTTGACTGAAATATGCGCTGGGAAATAACAGTGACTTGCTAATTAGCTTTGTAGCCAGAACTGGTTGTATAATCAATTAGTTAGATTTTTGAACAGGTAATGCTGGCTTTATTAGGTGTCATACCTCATGAAAACTGCCTAAAGTCACCCCAGACCGAGGCTGTAACTGAGTCTAATGAGAAAACACATCCGTTGACATCAGGTAAAGATTTGCTCTCATGTTCATCATGATCAAAAATCCGCTGTCCCATCTATGCATGAATAGTGGAAAAGGAAGATAAGTTTATTCAAATGGCCAGGCCAAGCTTTGAACTTAGTGTTCTTTCACAGTCCATAAGATTTTCACTGCATTTTATCACACCATGTGATCCATGACACAACAGCTGACATGAAAGTGTCAATGTAAATCCTAGTTTGGGCCTAGTTCTGATTTTCTTTTCACAGTTTACTCACACGCTTTTTGTCACTCTCTCAGACTAACATAATTAATTTGATTTGACTAAGTGTTTTTTTCACTTTTTTATCAACTCATTATCATATCTTACTTTTATTATCCTCTGTTGCTGGACTTTCTTATGAAGAACACTAAATCTTCTATGTACTGATCAAATAGTTTTTTACTTTTGGTGTTGATCCTTTTGTTCTTTTATAGATTGCTATGCTCAGAATTATGGCAAATTGTGTTTACCAAGTTTATTTGCATCAAAATTTGTTGTGACATGTAGTTTGATGAATTGATAATTTCATTATGCAAGTCCAGAGGATTAGTTGAAATTAAGGTGGAGGAAACTTTTTTGTCGTGATCCTCTGACCTTGCCTCTCCTGGCACTGGTGTGACTGGAGAGACAGCGACCAAAGCCTAGCATGACCCTGGCAACCACCAGCTGCGTCCTGCCAGAGTACAGCCTGAGAGAACCCGGTGAAGGTCAGGGATGAGTACACACCCCCAGTAAGAAAGACACTACTGACTGTGTAAAGATCGAAGAAGTCACTCTTTTCTGAAAGTGACAGTGTCTTTTAAACATCTAAGTTTTTCCTCTTATGGGAGTCTGCCCTGGGCCATGAGGTAGCTGTGTAACATACAGAAGTGAGTGCACTGGCTTCAATATGTACAATAAATATTAATTTCCGGACAAACAAGTTTTAAATGCTTGTTTCACGCATATTTCGAAGTATCAAAGTACCTTCCTCTAAATTGAATGTTTGCACTTTGGGCAAAATTAAGTCATGTTGATATTTCTTTTTTTCCAATTGTGTTGCATAGAAGAAGACTAAATTGATTATCTCTCTTATGTCTGATTTGAATTAGTTATTAAACTCTTGGGGGCATGAGTACTCTGATTCCCACTCGCATTGAAATGCCTGTAAGCTGGGCACTGATTGAGGTTAATGTTGGAACCATCTGACTTTTACAGGATATCAGCTGGTCTTCCTTGACTTGTCCTCTCGTGCTTGGTTGTGTGATTGTAGGGTTCCCCAAAGGTGAAATATGAGTGTGCTTAGCACACCCCAGAAGAGCAGCTCAGATAGAAAAGGGCAACAGAGAGGTCACTGGTCCTCAGCACTAATCAATAAATACCTGCAGCAGCAGAGGGGTTGGAAGGGGCCCTGCAGCCAGTGTCTGTAGAAACATCAGCGTATATAAAGCACTCAGATGGAAAGAGACATTAGAGTGAAAGGAAGCCAGAACTCATTTTACCTCTTTCTTGTGGAGCTTCTAAAGGATTTTGCTGTTAAAACAAGGGCCATATATATTGATTTAAGCTAGTGGGATGTATGGGTCTTTACTTAATCCAATACTAACAAGTATTGACAAGAGAAAGTCGTTACCAAAGATTTATGTTCACTCAATATAATGGGTAGGTGTGCCTAAAGCACATTTATTGGTAGATCTGATTGACAGTCTATTTATACTGCTTCAATTGACTTGACAGCCGAGTGGTTTATTATTCTGCTTGAACACTCAAATGTAAGCCACCTCTTGTGCTACCCCATAGTGGTAAAACTTTGCCCACTGAAATTCACTGTTGTCGAACGATCTTACCTATCACTGATCAGCCTTTTTGTATCTGGAGAGGGGTTGTATGTTTTTTTTTTAATGATAAGACGGATCGGGGGAAAAGAAAAGTGAATTGTGGAAGGCAAGAGTCAATGCAAGGAGAGCAAAGAGGACAAAAAACGGGGATGATGAGGGGGACGATTTATACCACTGTTCATCCTCGTTCATGGTTGACTTGCTCCTGATGGAGGGGAAACATTGGTCCCACCGATACAGCGCTATCCTTTGGACAATAAATCTGCTTGAGCACAGATATAGTAGAGACAGCTTATCTTGGGCAGTGATGTCAGAGCCACAGCATTTAAAATTGTTATCGCAAACCTTCCTATACAGTACATGATATTAAGATGGCTGTCTTCAGCATAACCTCTTTGCTGTATTCTTTTTCTGTATTCTGTGTACAGCATTTAAAGCTATCATGGAATGTATAACAGTGTATAATCTGAGCTGTATGTACTGACATGTCAGACGAGCCAATGTCATGGGTGTTCACAACCCATTTTCACATCAAGCAATCAAATGTGTTTATGGGGTACGTAAACTGTTCGGTAAAAAATACTTATTATTTAGGAACTACAGCCATTTTTACGTTATCACTCTGATTCCACTTGAATAATCCAACAAATTTACACGATAAGAAATAACAATAATATTACAGACCTGAGATGCATTTACAGGACTTTTTTACAGCTTCAATGACTTGCTTGAGGATCTCACTATCTTCAATTTTGCATTCAGTGAGATTAAATGTTGTATAAAAGTGTGGACTTTCTCCATATCGTCCTCATATCAACATTTGGGTGGAAATTATTTCTCACCTTCCTATCTGTTTTATCTCCTAAGAATTCTAGCCCAGAATCAGACACATCTTTTCTTTTAATGGACATTTTCAACAGAAAAGCTACTGTTTGTGTTAGTAACTTGATTGCCATATGTCAACTGTGGAGTGGTACAAACTTAAAACTGGGGAAAGTGCCCCTATTCCATTCAAACAATTACGGACTAGGCTTTAAATGATAAAGCACTTTCACGTGCATCAGCTCCACATTTATCTGTAATACGAAGTCATTATTTTACCAGTATGACGCTCCATAGTGTTGGTACAACGATTTTTTTTTTTCAACTTAATGAGGTAGAGTTACATATACACAGAGAAATAGATTCAAGCTTTACTCCCAATTACGTCAAGGTAATCATTCTGATTATTATTTTAAATGTGAATTACAATTCATGACAATATTTGGCTGAAGTGCATGTGTTAAAGACTGAAGAGAAGTGCAACCAAAGCCTGGGATGTAGTCATCACAGTGTGGACACTGACTCAATGTCTAATTTCCTCTGGATGTCCTGTCATCAGTTTTCACTGTTCACAGCACAATACACCTCATTAATGTGACAAAGGTATTGATTATCAAGTAATGGTGGTACACCGATGGCCAAGTTGAGGAGTAATAATGCCTCTGGGGTTTTTACTGAAGCTCATTTCAGTGTACAGTACTTGAAATGCAGCCAGCCAATGCTTATAATTGATGAGGAACAAAGGAACCTTTGGCAAATTGCACAGGGAGTTTTGGGTTTGCGGTACTGAACAGATTGAACTTCTATACATGTGATGTGAATTTCTCTCCATGCGATGTCAGATGTGGGCATGCCAAACCTGTTTATGTGCTTATATAACACCTCTCTTAAAGCTTCAGTCCTATTTGTTTAGAATTTGATCAGAATTAAATTAATTTAGTCCTATATCCGGACTTGATTTGGCTTGATTAGCTCGAGCATACCAAGCCCTTAATACTTCTACACTCCCACAAATTCTGGAGTCAACTCAAGCCAAATGGGCACTGACCGAAGACCGTCTGTCATCCCACATCATTCCCACTCACCAAGTTTGGACTTATTTTAAAGAAAATATAATCAATTTTTGAGGGTTATCATTCGATTTATCAACAGTGCAGGAAAGCAAATTTAATTCACTTAGACGGACAAAATTTGAGGTTGTGTTTCTTTGGGCTCATTTATCTGTAAAATCGTTTGTAGTTGAGACTGGGAAGTGATAAAAAATTTAACCATTATTCCATTTGAGGCTTAAAATATTCACTAAAAAGACTTAAAGATATGAATTAGAAAAAATTAACCCAATTACAAAGCAAAATACAATTTGAATAAAAGTGCTGCAAGGACATATTTTTATAAAAAATTAAATACTCAATATGGAGGCAATTCAGAAATGTTCTGATTAAAGTCAAGTTTGAAATTAAAAAAGCTTTGAAAAATCCATACAGCATATCAAACAGTGGAAGCATGCCATATTTATGCTTCTGTTGAAAAAGATTATTTTTCTAAGACAGGGTGGAAAAAGTATTCCTTGATGCATGCTTGAGTTGTAGTAAGACGGCAATTTTCTCTTAACTTGACAGGGTGGGTCGGCATTGTGTTCCGAATCCACAAAGGTTGCATCAACTTGAAAATGGCAAAATACAAACCTTTAAACTGCAAACGCTCGGTGGCTTTGGGAGCAGGAAACAGGAAAAAAGTATTGCCTTTCTTTGAGCCTCTTGTTGCTCTCAGGATTCTGTTCACCAGGGTATGAGAGGGGAGGTGCTGCACTGCTGGGAGTTGTGGTGAGGGGGGGGGGCAGCGCGATCAGTAAGAGTCAGGGTCTTTCATTTTGTCATGTGGTTTCTTTATTTTTTTTCATTTCTGGGATGATTTTTCACTGCAGGGCTAGTTCCATTCACTTGAATTTATTATTTCTCGCACTGAGGAAGTTGATGAATTCGAATATCTGTGAGTGAATTTGTGTGCGGCTGCGTGCGCGCCCGTGCTTGTGTTGGGTGCGAGCGTGTGAGCGTATGAGGCCCGCGCCTCTGTTTGTGAGGAAGCCACGCTTTCATGGCTGTTTCAGATCTCGCTGCCTCACAGTTCGACAGAGCCAGGAGGGAGAGAGAGATGGAGAGATAATGGGAATGGAGGGTGAACGAAGGCTAACACAATCTTTAATGAGTTTCCTTGGCTCTCTTTGCCTGTTTCTGGGTCAGGGTCCCTTTGGCTGAGTATGTGGGTGGACTGAAGACTTTGGAGCACAAAAGAACAGAGTACGCCAAGGTCTGCTGGAATAGACTACCACATTATAGAGGCATCACCTGAATAAAGATCTAATGGAGGAGAAAGTTTCAATGGTATCCCCTGTTTAGACAACAAAAGATGAAAGCTGATCAAAAGCGTGCTAGTTCTTTCTTGCTCTTATCCACTCCCACAAACACAAGTGATACAGTAAGCAGTTGGCCTGTGTTGATCCTCTCTTGAGGATTCAATACCCTGTTCAATTATGCACATATTAGGAATAAAAGAAGAGGAACAAGTTTACTTATGTTTTACTTTCAATGATAAGAAGTTACATATCCACTTCTAAGTATCCAGCCGTGCGCAGACATACCCTTCCACCCCTTTTATTGGTCATTTCAAGATTGTCCTCCTGTACTTTCATTTCCTGGCAGTCAACTTCAATCTGTGGCAGGTATGGAAGGAGAGATAACATTAGAGAGACATCGTTGGGAGATATCTGCTCAGCCGAGACATTATTTAGTGTTCCCAAGGCATTCATGAGGCAGCTTCTGTCAGACAACAAGGCTCCAGTGAGTTCACACAGGCCAGAGTTGAAGATAGATAGAAGGACATAGAAGAATTACTGATGGACTGATAAACTCTTTTGTTATCTCAACAGTCTGCTTTCCTGTTTCTGTCCTCCTGTGCTATGTTTCTGTCTGTCTACCCCAGCTCGGTTTCGATGTATCAATCTGAGTCTGTCTGGCTGAGTTACTTTCACCATCTCTCTGTTTCTCCTTTCTCTCTCTAACCTTCTGTTTCCCACTGTGTCTCTGTCTCTATTACTCTGCCTTCTTTCTTTCACACTTGTGAATAATTGATGTCTACCGGTTCGATGTTAAGAATAGAACAGTTCTGGAGGTGACAAATGGGGTGGCGAATAGGCTTCATCCTTCTTTCTTCAAAGAGTTAGAAAGTTAGCCTGGCTCACAAGTGGGCGTGCATGCCAGTATGTTTGTGCCACTACGAGCATTTGTTCAAGTTTGCTGGTGTGCGCATCCACAGAGTTGTGTGTGTGTGATTTAAGACACGGAGATGAAAGGGAGTTGTAATTACAGGGAAGCGTATCTGTCTACTGCAGAAGTATCCAAGGAATGGCACAAAGTGGGCCAAAGCCTGAGGTCATTAGATCTGCCACATGTGTGTGCGTGCATTCGTGGATCTGTGTGAACTGGTGTTTGCGTGTGTGTGAGAAAGAATGACAAAGAGAAATAGAAAGCACACAGGACTAAATGGGAGACAGGAGAAGCTAGACAGCTTAGAACTTTAGATCCTCTGAGTCAACCTCTGAACCCTGCTTCTCGTTATTGGCTTTGACTGGCTCGTTGCTCAGCCGTCGCTGATTGTGGTTTGACCAAGCAAGGGCCGGTTTCTGAAAATCCATGCAGCTTTATTGCCTGAGAGGAATCCCAGAATTTCCTGTGCTCAAAAATACACTTGAGTAAACATTCCAAAATATCAAATGATAGGGATTTCACTGTGTTCTGTGTGACTGGATAATCCCATGCAAAGACTGTGGTTATAATACTGTCCCAATGCCTCTTGCCTGCCTCCCTTTCCCTTCCATCTCCTTTTTTCCTCTTCATTTATGGAGCTTTCAGCCTCCTTCTCCATTTCTACCATTTCTCTTTTTATCTCTATCCTTCCATAATCCTTCATCTTGATGTTGTTTCCCTTTTCACAGTTGAGGATGATTTCATTGGTCTCGGTGAGCTCCCGGAAACCTTCCCATCTGACCCTCCGGAGCCGCTGCCCGTGTTTCTGATGGAACCGGATGAGGCCTACATAGTCAAGAACAAACCGGTTAACTTGTACTGCAAAGCCACACCCGCTACCCAGATCTACTTCAAGTGCAACAGCGAGTGGGTTCACCAGAAGGAGCACACCGTGGAGGAGAGAGTGGACGAGAACTCCGGTCAGTAAAAATAAATGATAAAAATGCTCTCAGATTAAATACATTTTTGTCCTGCAATAGGTTTTCTGTCACTGTCAGTGTAAAAATTCATATTCTGAATGTTTCTGTCTTTCCTCCTGATAGCATAAATACCCATCCAGGCATATACAATCATTAAATATAAAACTTTCTCTAAATAAAGGTCTGTGGAGACAGTTTTCCATTCCAGCTAACCCTGGCCTAGAGGTGGGATAAACCCTGAAGAGGCCACGTGTCCATCACAAGACTACCTCCTAATTAAGATAATTTGGCCCATTCATATCCAATAACAAAAAACACCTATTAACCTAACATGCAGGGTTTTGTTTGTGAAAGGAAGCCGGGGCCTGTTTGAGGAAACCCATGCTTACACAGAGAGACCGGCTACCTCTCTGACCAGAAGGGTCAAACTCATGCGGTTCCACATGGCATACTTTGGACCCTGCTGTGACCACTTTTGTAGAGCCAAATATTTGGCTGCATTTGGCTTTATGTAGACAATTTGCCCTTTTCAAAAACAACAACCATTGTTTGCTTGTTGCCACAGATGCTGATGTTAGTATTACTAATTTGCTGCTTATTAAGGAGAGGACTAACCTCTGAAATCCGACTTTTCACCACCTGGACAGCAGCAGTACTTGTTCTGGTCAATGACCTCTGCATTTCGCTCACACGGCACTATTTGCCTGCAACATGATCAGAACTGTTATCATAATCAGGCTGTGTTCCATTCCCTCTGGAATAATACATAACATTAAAACATCAAACAGGTCCTGGAACTAGCATTTGAACTGGATCTGAAAAAAAACAAACAAGCTGCTTTCTTTTTTTAGCTGGATCATCATAAATTATATAATATAGAAGCATTGACATATTTTGTAGTATGCAAGAAACAAAAACAAGATATCTCTAAAACAATATTCAAAATTGTTGGACCATTATACAGTGTATCACACTTGCTAGTTTATTTGCAAGAACTTGCATCAGTCCATCTGCAGAAGAGTCTTGATTAACAGAGTCCTAATGAGGACACTAAAGTGGCATATTAGTGACTCTTCTACTTTGATGCATGTGTCTCTGAGGTGGAAAATGTACTTGTTTGTGGGCATCTGAAGAAAAAAAAAGAGGTAGTGAAGCTCCAGTAGAGCTGTTTTCTGCAGAACTGAGCCCCCAAAGGCACCAGAGCCATTACACATAACAGCCCAGTACTGATTGGCTGCATTCAGCTGCTGTATTGGAAATTGAGTTCTTCTGTCGCCCACAGGTACCAATCACATTGCATTTACCCTTTTTATCCCGCTGTTTTGCCCTACACCTCTGCAGGCTCACAGAAACACACACTGACAGTTTCTCCTTTACTTAAATGCGGATTTTTAGGCTCATAAGTGCACATATAGGCTACACACTTTAAGCATCAGGAAACATGTTTAATCGAGATATTTAATAACAATATTCCTCGCAAGTCAGCTTTGACCATCGTGAGAAAACCCTTACTAAAGATAACAGTCAACAGATATACAGTTAGAGTGTTGCACCACAACTCTTACAAGATACAGAGAAAAAAAAGCAAGCACAAATTTAAAAGAAGAAAAATCCAACCTGAACTCCTTTCATTTTGACCCAGTGTGCTTTGGGAAAGTGTATACAAAGGATGCGTTTCTCAGTTATGATTATGGTCGAAAAAAGAGGGAGAAGGTAGCAGTGGCTCTTAGCCTTTGTGTCAGAAGGTTTTGTGCTAAAAGCATCAACAAGGAAAACAACCCACACATCACACAAGCACCCACTCTACATAGCCATATCTGCAGGCTGTTTACTGCACAGATATTCATTCATTTCTGCTCGTGTAACCCATACAAAACACACAACACTGCAAGAACCCAGTAGAAGTGTGTAGCTGTTCTCAACCCACTCCATTGCTCTCTGATTTCCCCAGATTGACAGAAAAGAAACACCGATAGAAACAGGCCAGCCTGGTCAATACCACTAATAATGTAGCCAGAAGAAATTGGATCTCTCCCCTCCTTGATTTCCTCCACCTGTCTTGTCTTCTCTCTCTGTCTCGCTGATGTATGTTGGGTAAAACTGATGAGCCCATGCAAACAACATGGAATGAGGCACTGAGACTAAAACAGGAAAAAAATTGAAAACAGATCTGCAGGTGTTCAATTCGGCCTGAGGCTTAATCCAGTGTGTATTTATCCAGCTGTTTCACACTTTTATATGCAAATACGTGCACACATTTTCAATACACAGATGTTTCTAATATCATTCATGAGCACCATCAGGCACACGTTTGACTGGTCTTAAATTCATCCTACAGCATGATAATGACTTAACATATACAGCCAGAATCATAAACAACACATCCCAGGTCTTGAAAAGATTGGAGACCTTAGTGCTGTTTACTAGACGTGGCTTAGTGCCATATCGTGAGTGCTTTTCTTTGGCATGGCTGTGTTGTGGAATAAGTTGAGTCACAAATCTCTTGGCATTTAAAGAGATGAGCTCTACCTTAGTCGTGTCGATTGGGTTCTGTGATTATATCCTCTGCTAACTCAGAGACACATCTGCTGAAGACTGACATAAATCGCAGGGGGAACTACGACAGGGTCTCACTAATATTTTGAACAGCCTCATTAGCAAGTAGCTTTACTTTCAATAAGTGCTTTGATTTAGTTCCTCAAGCTCTGTAAAGCATTTCAGTGATGCTTTTGTATAAGTATGATGTGTTTGCTACCTGAAATAGTGCTTTGGTCTTAAAAGGGTAGAATACTGGGACTGTGTCTTGCCAAGGATTAACGTCAAAGTATCCTTGGGTGAGACATTTAAACACTTTTCATTGTTCCAATGTGTTCATTGACTTCTGAACTTGTAGCAGAGTCTGCAAACTCCACTGGCCACAAGGATCCACCAAGGCAATGACAACGTGAAAACCAGTGAATTTCCAAAGCTGCTCAGGGTCAAAGTTGTGGAGACATACAAATCCGGGCCTCATTATAGAAAAGTATTAAAAACTTTGAAGATCCAAGTCAGTGATCCACATTAATGAGAGAGGCAACAAAGAGACAGCATCATGTTCTAAAATAATGGGTGACTGGTCAGAATTGAGGAAAGGAAGGATGGGGAAAAACAAAGCACAAATTCTTGAGGAAAACCAGTTTTACACAGATGTAAGTCTTGGACCTTTCAGAATATCAGTGACCCTCGTTCACCAGCCCTCAATCCTGTTCAGTCTGTGGTATGACTTATAGATTGCTGCAACCCAGCGGAGCTCATCCATCCTGAAGGAGTTGAGACAGTTTTGTTTTGAAAAATGGGCAAAAATCCCAGTGGTAAAAGCGACAAAGTCACAAAGTCAAACCCTGTGAGATTCGCAGCTTTAATTACTGCAAAAGGCATTAGTGCCAGTGCTTTGTGGGTTATGAAGACTTTCAAGCGCTCAAGATTACTGTTGTAAAAAACGTTTTCCATCTTCAAGGTTGTTGTGCAAACAGAATGATTAAAAATCTGTAAAGCTATTCATTTTAATTCTAGGTATTTGGCAACAAAATAGAAAAAAAATCCATGGATGGGGACACTTTTGCCAGCCATTGCAAATGGTTTCCATTTACTTTAATTCATGATATGATAACATATACGAGCCTTAAAATGTCAGGCCTAAGTGACATAACTCTTTGCATCATCTAAACTACTTAAAAACAGAAGAAGTGTGTCATCTATAGCTGTAGTGCAATCAGTAGGGACATTATCCTCTCCACGCAGCTTGAAACTACTCACCTGCAGCTGTCCTTTGGGTACTCAAGATGTTTTGTGTACTATCCAAAGACCTTTATAGAGAGCATTTGGAATATAAATGGTACACGGCCATTTGAAACGGACACAAATGTTTTGTCAAGAAAGGAAAAATGAAGCTCAGAACATTTTTACTGCTGACAGAAGAACTCACTTTGTTGTTAAGGCTGTGCACATGGAGGCCATAATCTGCTATGTTTTCAATAAAATCTGATTTTCATTGGATGACAGACACTGCATGTAATATTCAAGCAGCATTTAGAACGAAAGGATCAATAAGACATTTGTTTTTCTTCACAGATTACCATCTACACGCTTAGGATTTATCTTTAAGTTGCCACCCTGCTCTCGCCTGAATACTAAAGCATTTTATCCCCCAGTTCTGACGGCAGGTTATGGTCCCTTCTGAGCAAAACAAGCACTCTTCTTAACAAATGAGTGGCAACTAAATAATGAGTCGCTATTGTAATATACACCAGGGAAATCCTGTCACTTTCACTGAGATATGAGTTAAAAGATCGAACAGTACCCCTCGAATGCACAGATAATCAGAACATGAACTCATCCCTCCTTGTCCTGTTTATCTTCAATGACGGATTCCTCCTTTTCTTCCTGACTGGTCAGATTAATAATGCTAGTGGGGAATAACATTAATAACTGCATTAAAAATTAATCACATCAAATGAAGCACCTTACGTCAACTAGCTATTAATGGGACATATTGTTGAATAATTTCTTTGGATAATAGCCGCAGTGCCTGGTGAGAAGTATTGCACTGGTATACAGCATGAAATCTGCCATCTGAGCAAACACATGAAGTCACTGGATGATGTTAGCAGCAGGATGAGTTCAGAGTTCTGCTGTTCTGGTAGAATAATCTCTTTAACTTGTTTGACGTTTAGCACATCAATAAAAGTTTATTCCAGATTTAAAGAAAAAACACATGAAGTAAAAAATGGCCCCTCAAGATTTTTTAGTTTCTGTTTATGTCACATTCTTACATGCTTGCAACTATCATTTAAAATCTAAGTTAGTGTTAAAACACTTGAAAATATAAATACTTATCCTGGAGAATATTTATCCAGGATATTATCCTGGAGAATTTTTAGAAGTTGTTTTTGTTTTGCACATGCACATGCATGTGGAAAAATACATACTGTATTTAGCCGAGGCAAATGGTGACACAACCGACATGGCAGCTCTTCTGCCTGTCGGCACCCTCTAAATTTTACATGAGGGCTAAGCTGGTGTGTGGGATGTCTGTGACTGGTGTGTGTGCCAGAACAAGTAGGCTGTGTTAATGCACTGAACCTGAAATAAAATGGCATGTTCATTTTTTTAAGCATCCATTCTGATCGCAGGTTTCATTCAGCCAGAATTACTGGCACCTACCGTTAAAACCCCCTTGCACTGTAATGGACTGTTAAGCCTGACTCTTTTTACCTAGTCAGGGCAAAATGATGAGTGCAGAGGTAATGGTCATTTACTGTGTTAATCCTCAGACTTAGTTATTATGATAGAGACAGGGATTGTTTTCTCTGTGCTTGCAATAATTAGTTAAGATTTTTGTATTGCAGGATTCAGACATGACATCTATAATATTCAACATGTTAACTGATGTAGAATCACGGAGCCCTGGGGTTAGTGCATGCACCACATGACAAATCACATACAGATTTAATCAGACTGGGAACTTGTAATGCAGTGTTAACTAGATTGATTCACTTTTTTGTGGTAGATTTAGATAACCAACTGAGGCTCACAATGTGTACCAAATGTCCCTATCTTGTCTGTAGTTCATTTAGCAGCGACTCACTCAGTAATGAATAAGATTGCAGAAACGGATTAAATTACTGATTGAAGGCGCATTGGGACACGGATGAGTCAATGATCTATGACACCATTTCAAGGCAGTACCTGATAATGATGTCACAAAATACCTTAGGCATCTGCAAGGTAGGTTCATCTTAAAATAAATGAGTAACTTGAAGGTTAACAAAGAAATGTAAATATGAAGAAATACACTTTGATAAATATGTTAGAGGCCATATCAACACGATAAAAGTAGGAAGGCTAAAAACTGTTTTTATTTTTTGAAAACGTTAATCCTAAAATCCACAAACATCCACGTGTGAAAAGTGTTCATACGCCTTTTCAATTTCTTGAAAAAGCATCACCTATATTCTTCTGAAAATACCAGGAAAGGGTGTCTGGGTAAGAAAACATGATGGAAGACCTAGTGAAAACCTAAAACATTTTAATGCACTTTCTAAATGAATGATATGAGAGGCAGCGGTGTGTTGAACAGAAATACTGTTTTGGTATATGTTCAACAATGTGCTTTTGGCAGATGCCGGTGATGGTATAATGTCTCAATGAACATTTCCTCAGCACAGAAATGGCTTCATGGAAGTTAGGAATTATTTGAATGTTAACGTCCACCCTCAAATCACCGCTGACCAGGTATGAAAGCATGACAGTTCCAGGAAAAGCCAAGTCTTCTTTCAATAGGCTGCTCAACTGCCATATCTAAAGCAAACAGAGCAGCACATTTGGGCAAGGAGATGCCATATTCACAGCATAAATATTCTTTTTAAGAATTGCAGGGCGGTTAAAACATGTCTTGAATATGGGTTTTCAACATGAATCCATATGAAGTTCAAGCTGTTCTGAAGCAAATCTGAATATGTGAGGCCCACATACAGTCAGAAGAGTCAGCTTGTCTCTATTTTGTTGATATGTGTTCTATTTAGCTATTTGATGTTAAAATGTATGTATTACAAGTTAAAATATGTATATTTTTTTCAAAATCAAAATTCTTCTGAGTTAATGTTCTTGTGCTGAATAATACAAACATATGGCTTTGCCCATAGTTTGTACACTGAAACTCAGAAACCAAAACGGACAAGCAGAGATGTACACACGCATCATAATCTTCTGTGGAGTGGCAGCTGTGGGGAGAGGCATTTGTTCTGGGGAAGATTTGTTTGTTTGGTTCCCGGTACCCAAATGAGCAGTAATCACAGGAGTTAGCAAACAGGATTGTGTTAGCCATGACGCAGAGAATCCTCCCCCACAGGGCTCCAATCCAAACAGCTCAGTGCCTCGGCTTTAGGCCGGACTGATACACACTCTTCATGATGAAGCGTTTGATGTGAATCGATTTTTATTTTATTTTTCCACTGTTATTTTTCACCTGTTGCCCATCTATTGTTATGTACCTCGGGCTTCGCCTTTAATTTGTTTCTCTTTATTCTCAAATGTTCCATCTTCACAGGCCTGGTTGTGAGAGAGGCCAGCATAGAGATCACTCGACAGCAGGTGGAGGAGCTGTTTGGGCCAGAGGACTTCTGGTGTCAGTGTGTGGCCTGGAGTTCTGCTGGGACTACCAAGAGTCGCAAAGCCCATGTCCGCATCGCCTGTAAGTCCTCCTCTCTCCTGTCACACTCTCTCCTCAGAACTTTGTGCAGTTATTACCTCCCATCCCTCATCTTTATAAGCATCTGAAAGCACAAGCTCTTAGCTGTTAGGAACACACATTTCACAGACCAAATGCACGGCAGACTTCAGTGAGAGAGGTGAAAAGAAGATCTGCTCAACATGAGGCTCAAAAGTCCATTTGGGCTTGACTTGTAGAAAGCCTGCGAGATGTGAATTGCTTTCGGAGGCAGTTTGTTAGCCAAAACGGCATTTATGCACAGCAAAGAAGTTGTACATAGCTTGTTTACACCATTGTTCCCCTCTTTTTTTCCTGCATGGCTCTCATTTGCTCTGTCTGCGTGCTTGTCCTCCTCGCAGAGAAGCACAACAAAATTGTTTTCAAGTAATGAGAACCACTCTTTGCTGGCTGAAGTTTGAGAACATTTTTAACCGTTTCCCTGAAGGATATTCCGATGAGAATCTGACACGTAATGAAAGCCCAGAAGACCTGATGCTGAAGCTGTTTGGGGATAGTTGCGACATCAAGGCGACATTTTTGCAACGCGCCAAACATTGCGCAACAAACATGCTTATGTTGTCTGACTATTACCTGAAGGACTTATTTTTGTTGTATTACCTAGTCTGTTGCACTGCGTAACGCCTGTCAGTCATTTCAGGAAACTGTGACAGACAGGTCTTGCCCAGATTTGCTCTCTTTTTCTCTTTAATGAAGGCAAAACTAATTTCCATTATATATTGTAGTCAAATGTACCATTGGCGCTGTAGGAAAGGTAATTCACTTAAGCTAAATGTTTGACTTGGAACTCAGCGCCACTGTCAGAATGATTGTATCCTCGCTATGTGGGGCCGGATACGACACAGTAAAGAATCACCTCGACCGATCAATTTAAACAAACTTAGCAATTATGTACCTGTCTCTCTCTATTCTTGTCTCATCTAATGCCTTTCTCAATCTTTCCATCTTTATATAATTTCCTTTCCTGCTGTTTCCCCCTATTTTCCTCGCAGTTTCTTTTTGAATGCAGTCCGTTCTCTTTAGTTCAAACACCAGCGGCTCCTTTTATTACTGTTTCTATTATACTTGCCTGGTGAATCAGAATCATGCCTCTCAGTCTCCCACGGAGCCCGCTCCCGCTGCTCCACCTCCTATAATCACCCGTGATGAGCGGCCTGCCAGCACTAACCTATCCCTCAAATCACAGTGGACCCTTCTTCCCCTCCCATTAGCTTCTGCTGAATGAATTAGCTCCTCCATTGGGTTTTCTCTCCAGGCATCTTCTTGTCAGAGCCAGACTCTACCCCGTTAGGCTAATGGAAACTAAGGTTGTTTTTCTCTCCCCTCCTATCATCTAAACATATACAGTTTAATCAAATGATGAGTCACAGCTGAGCTGGCAAGCCAAGAGAATGCTGGGTTGAGGAAGGAACTGTCAGACTTGCAGAAAGACTGGTCCAAGAAAAATAATTAAAGTGTGTGTTCGGAGAAAGAGACAAGGAGTTTTCGTCTAAGCGACCTCCATAGCACTGTGTTAACTGACTTTGAGTTTTGGGATGCAGTGACTGCTTACCAGTGTATGGCGGCTGAGAGTCAACAGTCAACTGAAATTAAATGAACTCATCACTAAATAGAAATGCTTTTTAAAGACTTGAAGGAGAAAAAAGATTTTAAATTGTTTTCATTTCATTTCATTTTGTCTGTGGCCTCATTTTACACCACAGGTAAAACCTCCGCTTTGTTACAAGTGACTTCACCAATGATTATAAGTCAGGCTCCATCCATGCTCGCTGTCATCCCTGATCTCAGTTTGCACCAGTAGCTAATGATTTCTTAGTGAGGAAGAAACCATTTCTGAGGTGCGAGGCTGGTGTAATTTAGCATGATAAGTGGCCAAACACATCCACTCAAGATAATGGTAGTCATATGTGTGTCCTTCTGTGGGCCTGTGAGGTTTGAATTGTTTATGTTCTGAGGAGAGAATGATGTTTCTCCCACAGGAATGCCGACTCAGCTGGTCCCACACCCTACAGTACACCACACTACTCCTTAGGGTTATGAGGAGTGAGGAAAGGAGAAACTCCAGAGGGGAGGAATTATTTTAAATCCACATCCAAGAAAAATATATAGTGCAAAATAGTAACTGACGTTCTGCTCACTGTCTCGTGTACATTCATGCAAAAGGATTGCAAATCATGATGAATAAGTATATTTCGCATTAATTCACTGTCAAAGATGTTTTCTTTTTTTTATAAACGTTATGATAATGGTAGTATAATTCAACCCTTTTACGTGAGATATTTTTCTTTGCGTTTATGTATTTTCTTCCAATTACCTACTTTGGAGTAGTATAAAAGGAAGAAGAATCGACAGTTTCTGGCAGCATGACTTAAACTCAACATTTATTTCGGTCTAAAGCAATAAAGCAATAAGCTGCTGCCAGTTTTTATGGTTTACTCTAAACCACTGTGGCATGTTGAATTGCTGCACAGTGAGCAGTCATGTCGGAACCCATGAAAACCTGCATACTATATAATACCTTTATGATGAGAAATCAGATTTAATTTATTAGATTCTATTGTGGTGCATATGCTGTGAATCAAAATCTATCACAGTGTATGAGAACGTGTGACTGAACTGCCTCCTCAGCTGTCATGCTGTGTCTGCATCTTCTTTCGTCTTTTGGAGGCAGTTTGTTTAAGGATGCATCTCATCAAAACAGCAGCGCAGTTTTTGGCCTTATTTCCTTTCCTTTCCTTGTCTTAAAAACAATTTTGTGTGTCCTTGGTTCAAATTCCATAAACCTCTTTGAAGGAATTTGCACCTCTTGTCATTCCGTGTTTACTATTACACGCAGAAATTGCTTTCAGTTTAAAAATTCACCGCTTTGAGCCTTTATAATACACAGAAATTTGTGAAATTATAGCAGAGCTCTCTGAAGATCCGCACACGCTCGTGTTTAACTGGGACAAGGACAAGAGCCCTCACTGAATGTGTTATTTTAAGATTCCTTTTGTTTCTCCAAACACCAAAAATTAACTTCAAAATAACTATAAGGATTCTTTAGAGCTGAGTTGGGTCTGGTGTGATTGGGAATTTTGGAGACAACAAGATGTTTTTTGGTAATATAAAGGAATGCAGAAAAGCTTGAGATTTAACAAGAAAATGTCTCTTTTTCCATTCAATGATGCCTAATGCCTTCTTATTGAACAAAACAAAACCAAATGAAAGCCTCAAAACTGCTTTTCTCAGGACATTTGTCATTAGACACTGGACACTAAAGAACATTTTCCAGTCATCATAGACATGTCTAAATTCATATTACAAACTGTGCCCAAGAGTCCTCATGTGTCACACAGCATGACATACTTTTGCAGGGTTTCAGTCTCCAGTGTAACACAGCATCCTCAGGAATCCCGGGCTGTCACTTCCACTATGCCCTCCCACCATTACTTCATCACCACACCACAAAAATCTGGTTCTCATGGTGAAAGGCAAATAAAATTTGTCACTTATTTATTTCTTTAGATGATAAATTAAAACAATGATAATAGTGATGCATATTTTTTATATTTCGTTTTTTGTTTAAGCAGTCAGGCAGATGTTTCAGATAAAAATGCCATTTCTTTTTATGTTTTCCTCATGTATTATTAATGAACACAACAATTCATCTTGAGCATGCCTAACACACGTGTTAATCTGAATCCAACTTTCAACATGGTACACTGTGTATCTGTAGAATGTATCTACATTCTGATGTAGAGTAACATGTTTTGGTTTCCTGCAGATTTGAGGAAGACTTTTGACCAGGAACCTCTTGGGAAGGAAGTGTCCCTGGAACAGGAAGTGTTGCTCCAGTGTCGCCCCCCTGAAGGCATCCCATCAGCTGAGGTAAGATAACTTTGGATGTGGACCTGTCAACCAGAGGACTGGAGGCGCTTTTGGTTGGCCGTACTAAGCCCTGCTAAAAGCTCTCACCTCAAATCCAGTAAACCAGCTTCGCTGGAAAGAGGTTTAAGTGATTTCTTTTTGGGTCAGTTTCTGATTAAATGCCAACATAATTTTCAGTATTTTTTTTTTAGATATTGGATTTGTTGAATTTGCTAAAATGTCAAACACCCACAATACAATATATTTAGCATATTTATTTGTCAGTAATGGTGTGTTCTTTAATTCCTCTTGGATAAATGAAAACACTGTGGTGATTGAACAGTTTAGATTTTAACGCTGTTGCAAAAATTGTAATGATCTAACACTGAATAAATCAGACACAGTGCAGTGAACAGAAAAGGGCACATCACTGCTGGGGCTGTTAAAGTGCTTTGGGTATTTCCACAGCATCAGCTAGTGCGCAGTTTAAGGAAAGAAAATTGTAATTATCGGCTGAGGGGATTAAAAATGAATAAGTGTCACTATGCAACCTTTGCTTGGCCAACATCTCCTCTCCTCCCCAATTTCTTCCTTGCTGCCAAACACTGGAGCACTGCTAAGAGTTCCGTCTGAGAGGTCTCGGTTGAGATTGCTGGAATATAAATAGAGGATGAAGTTTGGCTTGATGTGTTGAAGGGTGTTTTTGTAGTAAAGCGTGTAGGTATTGTGCTTTGTAAAAGTGTTGTGATTGACCTGGAAGAGCTGAGGAAAGTGAGTTTATCCGTACAGCAGTTATCCCCGCTGAAAGTGCTGACAAGCTAAATGGATGCAAGTGTTTGACTTGTTCTCCTCGTACAACTCAGACTTTGTTCTGGCTGTGTGGAGTTGGTGATTCTGAGGTCACTGCTCGTGCTGAATTGGCTCAGGGCAGCATTTGAAGTGTCAGCTGATGTACATTCTGTATGAAGGAAGCGGACAGTTAAGAAAGTATTTGTTCTTTTTCACATCTTTCATTTTGGCAAAGGATCCAGTTCTGTTTTAATAGAGATTCCTAAGGAAGAAAAAAGGGCTAAACTGTCTGCTTTTCATGCGATTGTCAGGCCTGTTTCTCACACACGCTAAGGAAAGGGAAAGCCTCGGAAAAAAGCTTATGGGCTAAGACAGTGGTTAGATGTGAATTTACAGAAATATGTCATAGCCGCTGAAAGGAAAGATCTGTCATTTTCACTCAATCAAGACACAAAAAAATATAGGAAGGATGAGGGAGGCTGAAGGCAGAAGGAGGAGAGCTGTTATGGTTTGTCAGGGTTTGATTCAGTGGGATTTTGTCAAGCCTCCAGTGGACAGTCTGTTCACTCTGTGGTTCCTTTAAAGGCCGTTGCCTGGTTTGTGAGCAACTGAAGGGATGACAAGCTGTGGCTTAGTTATAAAACCCATACTTTAACAGCCCCTTTGTTTAATCATGTGGACTGTAAATAGGAGCCATTGCTCTGCATGAAAAGGACAAACAGGACATTCAAATGTGCTGACTGCATTGTTCCACAGTTGGACTCCACATGTAGAGGCATCAGCAGGGAGGATAACTTGCCTCTATGCAGAAGCGTACGGATCCAGAAAAGTCAGCTGAAAACACTTTGCATCCACTCTGTGATTGTGGTTGACCAGCCAGCAGAAATAGATTCTCCGCTGATGAATTGTAAAGCTCTTGGTTTACCTCTAGGATAAAATATTTTCAAACCAGGCATTTTATTTTGCATGTATATTATGGCTATCACAGCTGTCCTAGCTCTCACATATTACAAAGTGTGAGGATGTAACGCCGTCCTTTCCGGCCGCTGTTGATGGTCCTGAAATATCACTCAACTCATAAAATAGCAGCTGCTATTATAATAGTTAGATGGTTGCAAGCACATACATTTTTTTTTGTATAGTTCAGGCATTCTGTTGAGGTAAGATACAGCACGCAAATATTTTAGACAAATTTAAAAAAATTAGCTGCCCACATTCTAAATCAAAGTCAGCCTCTTATAATTAGCTTTGATCTCCGATTACAAAAAGCGCTTTGCTGCCAGTATTAACCCTTCTTCTTTGTCTCACTACATTCAGTTGATTTACATTTGAAGTTGTCAGAATGGTTCACCAAAGTAATGCTATCCAACTGTACAATTCTCTTTAAGTGGTTGTGAGTCTCTGTAGGATTTCTGAGCAGGCTGTTTTGAAATGTCGCTGAATAGTCCAGATGCTTCCCTTAATGATTTGGTAAAGTTTTTACAACAAAAGAAATGGAATACTTCCTGTCCAAGGTCACTAAGGGGTTTTCAAACACTGAATGCAGTCTATGGTTTTCTGTCCTTTTGTTAAATCACTTTTTAAAAGTTCATACATACAGTTACTGAAGTGCAGCTTTTCCCTGTGATATGGGATACCCACACATCACCGCACACAGTAACACACTCTCACAAAGAAAACAAGCAGCAGGCATTTGTTTTGGCTCTCGTTGTGACCATTACCAGTGGAACTTTGGCTTTGGAGAACTGTGTTGCGCTGAGTGAGGTTTCTTGAATAGCAAAAGCATTCAGTCATCTGAACTTCCTGTATGGTTAGAAATGGTTAGACACTCAGCAGGCTCCCTAAGAGTCATTGTTACATGTTTCCATAGCTATGGATATGTGATACATACTTAATCAAGAGCAGAGGGAAAATCTAACTGCTGAGGTTATTCAAAGAACAAGTGAAAGGTGGTTTTGACAGAGAAGGCTCTGTGCACTGTTTCTTTGTGTGGTTTGAGAGTTGGAAACTAACAGTGTTGAGCTCATTACTTAAAAAAACTAATTTATTTTCGTTACTGGATGACTATTACTCCTTCCAGACTGTTTGGATGGCATGATCTTTGTTAACAGAGCTCATATGAGCTTATCAACATATTTTGGTGGCACTCTTGGCCACCGCTTTTATAGAAGCATGTGATGATGTAAGTTGCTGTAAGAGATAAGAATTTCTTTCAACTGACATAGAGAAGCAATTTGGATTAGTTATATTTTTGATGCATCCATTTTTTAGATTATATCTAAAGGAGAGAAAGGTAATCTTTGTCTAGGTCATTGTGAGTGTAAAAACTGCCCAAATCTTCCTTTGGTTGGCTTACAATGAAATTATAATCTTTTCAGCCAAACGTCATCCGTTAAGCAGCCGCCTTGCCCATTCTCAACCCCCGCATCAGAGAAATGAAAGAAAGGAAAGACAACCGCTTCACTGAGATTAAATATAGTAATGTTGCATTTGATCTTCAATAACAGTAACTGCAGTAACAGTATTGTAACTATGGAAACAGTAGCTGGTTTGATTACTTGTTACGGAAAAAAGGCTGTTCGCTTATGCCATTGTTCCCATCAGTGGATATGAGTGCCGTCCATAGTTATGTTAATAAAGATAAAAATGAAGTTTGAGGGGTTTCAATCAGCTCAGTGTGGATCTTTTGCTTTTGAATTCCTCAATAAAGGTCTTTCATCAAAAACTGAAGGGCCTCTACACAGGCAAAAGAGGCCTCTTTTCATTCGTAAGATTATGTGACAGCCTCATAAAATCTGGCAGTTAAAAGAATGTAGGTTTATTGTTCCATTGCTTCTACCATGCCCCGCATCTCCATTTCAGAGCACTTGTCATTGCATTGAGACAAAAGCAAAAGTTCAGAGGTGACGCAGCACCCTGAGCCGCTAAGACTGTTTCCATGGAAGCAGGATTTTAATTCAGGCTTCTCCTCAGTCAGCCAGGGTCCTGCCGTGTTATCATGGGTAACAAGTCATTGATGCTCTGCAGGGAATGGGGCCTGCTGCCATGATTAAGTTGACTGGCTTTATTGAGAAGCCAAGAAACACAACGAACCTTACCTCACACATTCTCATCCAGAAAAAAATATATTTAAATAAATAAGCCAGATTAATTCTAATAGCTCAGACAGGGCTCAGAGCCAAATGTGAGACTCCATGCATAATTCTTTGAGTCTACACTGGACAGCAGATTCTGCTTTTAAAAATCCCAACTGCAGCACTTCTAAATCCAAATTCAATGTCCATCTTATTCATAAATAACAGCTGCACTTTAAAGGTGACTTGAAGTGGAACCACAATGAGTAGCACATATTAGGTCACTTTGGCAAAAAAAAAAAGAAGAAAAAAAAAAAACTACCTGCATCTATCTGTAAGAATAGGATTTTGTGGGTTACAACAAGTGCCAGTAATTTCAAGATGGCAGCAGCATGTCACTGACCAGTGAAACAGGAAGTGTATTTTCACGATGGTTCCCCATGTGAGAAAATGTGTCGGTGGGTGAGGCTAAGCCTTGTGGTGACCGACCAAAGATTGCCCTTCAGGTGCTCACTTGTCAATCAATGCATTATTTTTTCTTTGCAAAGCCTGTGATTTCATTTAATAGCCCACATTTGTGAGCACTGCTGTTCTCTGTGAGTGCCTGCTCTTTCTACAGTTACCTGCAGCGATTCAGTTTTAGCAGTGAAATGTCAAGCCAAAGAGGTTTTGCAAGCATTTTTTTCTCAGACATCAGGCAAGGTAAGGCAAAAAAAACAGTACCAGACCAAAAATTAGAAGGATGCACTTGTCTTTGCTTTTTACCTTCTTCACAGGTAGGATCTTGTTGGTCGTTGTTCATAAAATCAGCACAATTTTCTTGTCGGTCACAGTCCTCTTTTTATATATATATTTGTACTTTTTAAAAGATTTTACTAGGATAAATCACATTGTCACAATTGTTTCATGACAAACCATAAAAAATATTTTATTCTGACTTTATGGGCACCTGGGAACCATAAAGCACCTATTAAATGTTTTGTGTTTGGACCCACTGGTTAACCTGTCATCACAACCTTTTCCTAAACCTCAAGGTAAACATATCTTAGTTGTTAAGAGTTTCTTAAAATAAATGAATATATATATATATATAGAGAGAGAAATTACATTTCACGGCCCTTATGGTAGATGTTGAGTTGTAGGTTGCCAGGTGATGAC